TTTTAAGATTTATTTCTTAGTTTCTCATTTTTTAAATTAAAATTAAATTTTATTCGATCCAATTTTTTTCCAAAATTTTTTTTACAAATTCCTGATAAAATATTTTTTTAGGAAAATAATTTTAAAGAAGAAAAACTTTTTTTAAAATTTATTTCTTAGTTTCTCATTTTTTAAATTAAAATTAAATTTTATTCGATCCAATTTTTTTCCAAAATTTTTTTTACAAATTCCTGATAAAATATTTTTTTAGGAAAATAATTTTAAAGAAGAAAAACTTTTTTTAAGATTTATTTCTTAGTTTCTCATTTTTTAAATTAAAATTAAATTTTATTCGATCCAATTTTTTTCCAAAATTTTTTTTACAAATTCCTGATAAAATATTTTTTTAGGAAAATAATTTTAAAGAAGAAAAACTTTTTTTAAGATTTATTTCTTAGTTTCTCATTTTTTAAATTAAAATTAAATTTTATTCGATCCAATTTTTTTCCAAAATTTTTTTTACAAATTCCTGATAAAATATTTTTTTAGGAAAATAATTTTAAAGAAGAAAAACTTTTTTTAAGATTTATTTCTTAGTTTCTCATTTTTTAAATTAAAATTAAATTTTATTCGATCCAATTTTTTTCCAAAATTTTTTTTACAAATTCCTGATAAAATATTTTTTTAGGAAAATAATTTTAAAGAAGAAAAACTTTTTTTAAAATTTATTTCTTAGTTTCTCATTTTTTAAATTAAAATTAAATTTTATTCGATCCAATTTTTTTCCAAAATTTTTTTTACAAATTCCTGATAAAATATTTTTTTAGGAAAATAATTTTAAAGAAGAAAAACTTTTTTTAAGATTTATTTCTTAGTTTCTCATTTTTTAAATTAAAATTAAATTTTATTCGATCCAATTTTTTTCCAAAATTTTTTTTACAAATTCCTGATAAAATATTTTTTTAGGAAAATAATTTTAAAGAAGAAAAACTTTTTTTAAGATTTATTTCTTAGTTTCTCATTTTTTAAATTAAAATTAAATTTTATTCGATCCAATTTTTTTCCAAAATTTTTTTTACAAATTCCTGATAAAATATTTTTTTAGGAAAATAATTTTAAAGAAGAAAAACTTTTTTTAAAATTTATTTCTTAGTTTCTCATTTTTTAAATTAAAATTAAATTTTATTCGATCCAATTTTTTTCCAAAATTTTTTTTACAAATTCCTGATAAAATATTTTTTTAGGAAAATAATTTTAAAGAAGAAAAACTTTTTTTAAGATTTATTTCTTAGTTTCTCATTTTTTAAATTAAAATTAAATTTTATTCGATCCAATTTTTTTCCAAAATTTTTTTTACAAATTCCTGATAAAATATTTTTTTAGGAAAATAATTTTAAAGAAGAAAAACTTTTTTTAAGATTTATTTCTTAGTTTCTCATTTTTTAAATTAAAATTAAATTTTATTCGATCCAATTTTTTTCCAAAATTTTTTTTACAAATTCCTGATAAAATATTTTTTTAGGAAAATAATTTTAAAGAAGAAAAACTTTTTTTAAAATTTATTTCTTAGTTTCTCATTTTTTAAATTAAAATTAAATTTTATTCGATCCAATTTTTTTCCAAAATTTTTTTTACAAATTCCTGATAAAATATTTTTTTAGGAAAATAATTTTAAAGAAGAAAAACTTTTTTTAAGATTTATTTCTTAGTTTCTCATTTTTTAAATTAAAATTAAATTTTATTCGATCCAATTTTTTTCCAAAATTTTTTTTACAAATTCCTGATAAAATATTTTTTTAGGAAAATAATTTTAAAGAAGAAAAACTTTTTTTAAGATTTATTTCTTAGTTTCTCATTTTTTAAATTAAAATTAAATTTTATTCGATCCAATTTTTTTCCAAAATTTTTTTTACAAATTCCTGATAAAATATTTTTTTAGGAAAATAATTTTAAAGAAGAAAAACTTTTTTTAAGATTTATTTCTTAGTTTCTCATTTTTTAAATTAAAATTAAATTTTATTCGATCCAATTTTTTTCCAAAATTTTTTTTACAAATTCCTGATAAAATATTTTTTTAGGAAAATAATTTTAAAGAAGAAAAACTTTTTTTAAGATTTATTTCTTAGTTTCTCATTTTTTAAATTAAAATTAAATTTTATTCGATCCAATTTTTTTCCAAAATTTTTTTTACAAATTCCTGATAAAATATTTTTTTAGGAAAATAATTTTAAAGAAGAAAAACTTTTTTTAAAATTTATTTCTTAGTTTCTCATTTTTTAAATTAAAATTAAATTTTATTCGATCCAATTTTTTTCCAAAATTTTTTTTACAAATTCCTGATAAAATATTTTTTTAGGAAAATAATTTTAAAGAAGAAAAACTTTTTTTAAGATTTATTTCTTAGTTTCTCATTTTTTAAATTAAAATTAAATTTTATTCGATCCAATTTTTTTCCAAAATTTTTTTTACAAATTCCTGATAAAATATTTTTTTAGGAAAATAATTTTAAAGAAGAAAAACTTTTTTTAAAATTTATTTCTTAGTTTCTCATTTTTTAAATTAAAATTAAATTTTATTCGATCCAATTTTTTTCCAAAATTTTTTTTACAAATTCCTGATAAAATATTTTTTTAGGAAAATAATTTTAAAGAAGAAAAACTTTTTTTAAGATTTATTTCTTAGTTTCTCATTTTTTAAATTAAAATTAAATTTTATTCGATCCAATTTTTTTCCAAAATTTTTTTTACAAATTCCTGATAAAATATTTTTTTAGGAAAATAATTTTAAAGAAGAAAAACTTTTTTTAAGATTTATTTCTTAGTTTCTCATTTTTTAAATTAAAATTAAATTTTATTCGATCCAATTTTTTTCCAAAATTTTTTTTACAAATTCCTGATAAAATATTTTTTTAGGAAAATAATTTTAAAGAAGAAAAACTTTTTTTAAGATTTATTTCTTAGTTTCTCATTTTTTAAATTAAAATTAAATTTTATTCGATCCAATTTTTTTCCAAAATTTTTTTTACAAATTCCTGATAAAATATTTTTTTAGGAAAATAATTTTAAAGAAGAAAAACTTTTTTTAAGATTTATTTCTTAGTTTCTCATTTTTTAAATTAAAATTAAATTTTATTCGATCCAATTTTTTTCCAAAATTTTTTTTACAAATTCCTGATAAAATATTTTTTTAGGAAAATAATTTTAAAGAAGAAAAACTTTTTTTAAAATTTATTTCTTAGTTTCTCATTTTTTAAATTAAAATTAAATTTTATTCGATCCAATTTTTTTCCAAAATTTTTTTTACAAATTCCTGATAAAATATTTTTTTAGGAAAATAATTTTAAAGAAGAAAAACTTTTTTTAAGATTTATTTCTTAGTTTCTCATTTTTTAAATTAAAATTAAATTTTATTCGATCCAATTTTTTTCCAAAATTTTTTTTACAAATTCCTGATAAAATATTTTTTTAGGAAAATAATTTTAAAGAAGAAAAACTTTTTTTAAAATTTATTTCTTAGTTTCTCATTTTTTAAATTAAAATTAAATTTTATTCGATCCAATTTTTTTCCAAAATTTTTTTTACAAATTCCTGATAAAATATTTTTTTAGGAAAATAATTTTAAAGAAGAAAAACTTTTTTTAAGATTTATTTCTTAGTTTCTCATTTTTTAAATTAAAATTAAATTTTATTCGATCCAATTTTTTTCCAAAATTTTTTTTACAAATTCCTGATAAAATATTTTTTTAGGAAAATAATTTTAAAGAAGAAAAACTTTTTTTAAAATTTATTTCTTAGTTTCTCATTTTTTAAATTAAAATTAAATTTTATTCGATCCAATTTTTTTCCAAAATTTTTTTTACAAATTCCTGATAAAATATTTTTTTAGGAAAATAATTTTAAAGAAGAAAAACTTTTTTTAAGATTTATTTCTTAGTTTCTCATTTTTTAAATTAAAATTAAATTTTATTCGATCCAATTTTTTTCCAAAATTTTTTTTAAAAATTCCTGATAAAATATTTTTTTAGGAAAATAATTTTAAAGAAGAAAAACTTTTTTTAAAATTTATTTCTTAGTTTCTCATTTTTTAAATTAAAATTAAATTTTATTCGATCCAATTTTTTTCCAAAATTTTTTTTACAAATTCCTGATAAATATTTTTTTAGGAAAATAATTTTAAAGAAGAAAAACTTTTTTTAAGATTTATTTCTTAGTTTCTCATTTTTTAAATTAAAATTAAATTTTATTCGATCCAATTTTTTTCCAAAATTTTTTTTACAAATTCCTGATAAAATATTTTTTTAGGAAAATAATTTTAAAGAAGAAAAACTTTTTTTAAGATTTATTTCTTAGTTTCTCATTTTTTAAATTAAAATTAAATTTTATTCGATCCAATTTTTTTCCAAAATTTTTTTTACAAATTCCTGATAAAATATTTTTTTAGGAAAATAATTTTAAAGAAGAAAAACTTTTTTTAAAATTTATTTCTTAGTTTCTCATTTTTTAAATTAAAATTAAATTTTATTCGATCCAATTTTTTTCCAAAATTTTTTTTACAAATTCCTGATAAAATATTTTTTTAGGAAAATAATTTTAAAGAAGAAAAACTTTTTTTAAGATTTATTTCTTAGTTTCTCATTTTTTAAATTAAAATTAAATTTTATTCGATCCAATTTTTTTCCAAAATTTTTTTTACAAATTCCTGATAAAATATTTTTTTAGGAAAATAATTTTAAAGAAGAAAAACTTTTTTTAAAATTTATTTCTTAGTTTCTCATTTTTTAAATTAAAATTAAATTTTATTCGATCCAATTTTTTTCCAAAATTTTTTTTACAAATTCCTGATAAAATATTTTTTTTTATTTACGGGAAGAATTCCAAAGGGTCTCCACATGCCTTTAAAAAATCAGAATTTTAAAGAAAAATCAGAATTTTAAACATTTTAAAATTAAAAAATTTAATTTTTTTCATTTTTTTCATTATTTACTTCATTATCTACCCATATTGTCTCTGTAGAAATTTGTAAAAAAAATTTTGGAAAAAAATTGGATCGAATAAAATTTAATTTTAATTTAAAAAATAGCATGGGGAATTATATAACCTTCTTTTGGGACAACCTCCTTTCTTCCCCTCTCCTTCTCCTTTTTATTTCTAAATTTAAAAAATTTTAATAATTTTTTTTTTATTTTTAAAGAAATATTATTCATTATCATCTTCCTCCTTACCTCCATTAATTTCTTCAGCACCTTCAAATAAAAATCAACAACAACAACAACAAAATCGTCGTTTAACAGCAACAGAAACCCAATTTTATTTAAATAAACAAAATATCCAATTACCTCCAAGAGTTTTACATTTACGTAAACAAGAACGTTTTGGACTTCCAAAACCTAAAAATTCTTTAGAAGAAAATTCTTGTAACAATAAATTTCGAGAAAAAAGTATTAGAAGAGCAAGTAGTGGAAATTACAACAATAATATATTACAGAGACAATATGGGGTGGATAATGAAATAAATAATGAGAAAAATGTAAAAAATTAACTTTTTATTTTTTAAATTCTTAAGAAATAATTCGGAAATTTTTAGAAAATTTATAAAAAATATTTTTATTTCTTAAACATTCCAGTGAGGCATTTAAGAGCTAACGCTCACTTGAAGGCTTATAAGATTTCCAAATAAAATTCTCAATTGGCCTTCCAATTTTTATATTAAATACTAAAAATTTAATAATTATTTAATAAAATAATTATCTTCCTAAAAATTTCAAAAATTTTGGTTTCCCTTTCTATACTTTCTGATTTTAATTTTAAAAAATTTTAAAAAATAATTTTAAATCCAATTTATTTCAGTTATTAACAAGAACTTCACTTCCCAACGGAGATTTATTAATTGAAAATATTAATAAAAATTCAAAAAATTCTTCAAATTTAATTCAAACTGGACAAAAACAATTAAATAAAATTAAACTTCCAACACAAAAAATTTATGAAATAAATTATGGACAAAAAAGAAGAAAAGATTTTGAAATTAATGGAAAAAGAATATCTTCACAATTATAACGGGAACTTCCTAGGTCGGGATTCCCAAGAGGGAACTAGGTCGTTCGCCGCTAAAAACAATAGTCGAAAGTGTGTTGAGGCTGATGAGCGTCTTAATCCCAAAGATTAAGACGTGGCAAACCAAAATGTGTTAGGCGAATAGGCGAGAGTTTGGTGGATGGCCAAGTTTAGACGATAGACGAACAATTGAATATTCCCGAAGAATATTCACAGAATAATACCAAAAGAATAAAATCCAAGAATATTTAAAAATATTTATTTAATTAAAGAAAATTTATAATTGTGTGTGTATATGCGGTTTATTTGAAAAGGCTGGTTGGAATGGTTGGGAAAAAGTGTATGAAGGAAAAGTGGTTATGTCAGAACATTTAGAAAATGATGATGTCAAAACATTTAATTTGTGGTTGTGAAAAATGATTATGTCAGAACATGAAAAGTGTGGAAAATGATTGTGTTTAAATAGGCCAGATTCAATGTGTGTGGTATGGAATGTGGGCAATGGAAAAAGTAGAAAATTATATGTTTGCGGTTAAAAAGTTGGGCGGAAATGCACACTTTCTCCCTTTTCTCCCTTTTGGATTGAATTAATAATAATTTTAGATTGGAATTTAAGATAAAATGGATAATTTTATCCATTTATGGAAAAAGGAGAGAAAGAGCGAAATAGGCGATAACGATCAAAAATGATGTCATGATAAAAAAGGAAAAATTATTAATTTAATAATTTTCATCCTTCGACGAAAATTTCGAGAAATTTTCGACAAATTACCTTTAAATGGTTAATTTTAAAAAAATTTTCTTTATTTAAATTTTACTTTTCAAATAAAAAATTTTTATTAAAAAAATATTCTCCTCACAGTGGAACTCCTAAATCCTTATATTAATTTAGAAAATAATGAGGTCACTCCATTAGCAACAACCTTTTTCATATAATAGATGAGATCATAAATTTCTTACACTCTTAAGACTTAATTAAAAAATACTTGTTGTGACCAGGTTATAGCAAGGATGGATAATTTTGAATTTTAAAAAGCGGAAGGGCCAGAAAAACGAATTCGGCGCAAGGTGGAATCGGAAGAAAATCTAATATTGTTATATAGCTTATTGCAAGGATTAGTCAAGACAGTTAATCAAAACCAATATGTGAGGTTTTTCCGGCAACAATTCCTCAATATCCCCTGTCATTATTAACTATAACAAATTATTTTAAACTTATATAAAATCCAATCTCTCTTTTTATTTTAGATAATCCAATTAATCACTTCAATAACCTAACTCCATTACTTACAACTCGTTGTTCACTTCCAATAATTGAACCAAAAATACAAAATTCTCAACAAAAGCAAATTTTATTAAATCAAAAAACATTAATTAATGTTCGTTAATAATTATTTAATTTTCCAAAAAAAATTTTTTTCTTCCAATTTAGCCTTCAATAAATACCCAAAATAATTCTCAAATATTCCCAACTTATTTAAATAATTCTACAATGTTTAACTCTTATAATGACAATTTAATAGAAAATTCTGTTTGGAATTTTCGACAAAAGGAAAATTTAAATTTTTATCAAAATAATGAAGGAGAAGAGGAAGAGGTTTTTCGTTATCTTTTAAAGTCAAATATTTTTTTATTAAATTTTAGACGTGGCGTCTTTTACCACTCAATCGGAATTTAAAGAAATAACAAGTGAAAAATATTTAAAAATAGGAAAATATTTTTTTAGTAAAATAATTTTAAAGAATAAAAAATTTTTAACGATTTATTTTTGATTTTCTTTTTTTTTAAATTAAAATTAAATTTTATTCTATGTAATTTTTTTCCAAAATTTTTTTTTAAATTTTCGATAAAATATTTTTTTATAAAATAATTTTAAAGAATAAAAAATTTTTAACGATTTATTTTTGATTTTCTTTTTTTTTAAATTTCCAGATCCAGGAAAATCCACCAAAATCAAAAAATGTCTGGACTCTGGATCCAACAAGAATTCGGACTGGATCCAGATCCAAACCGATCTCTAATACCTAGGTCCTCTCTCGGCAAGAATTCTACCTTAACGCCGAATTTCTCGTTAACTTTTCTTGGTCATCTTTTTATCTCCTCTATTTTAGTTAGTTTATTCTGATAATAGCTGTTATTAATATTTCTTTATTTAATATTTCTTTTGTTATTTTTTATTAACCAAATCTTTACTATATTTACAGTAGCATTTAAATTAAAACATTAAATAAAATATACTATTTTCAAATATTTATTTAACAATTTTCAATGCATTTTTAAATTTTCTTTAAACAAAATCTTGGCTCACTTTTCTTCTTTTCATTTTCGCCCTTTAAATATTTAATTCTTTTTTTTATTTTTAATATATTTTAGTGGCATAAAAAGTGGCAAAAACTTCGTAGAAAAAAAAAGTGGCAAAAACTTCGTAGAAAAAACAATCTTGCAGAGAGGACTTTAATTAAATATATTTTGTCAAATATGGGGGTATAATCCTTCAGTTCCTGGAGCGCACGGACCTCACCACATTTTTTAAGGTCCGTAGGTATAATAATAATCCAACGTAGGTATAATAATGACAAAAGTGCCCTCCTAACAAAAATGCCTTAGAACGTTGAAAGTTGAAAAAATCGCCTGAGGTGCTAAAAATCTAAAAAATTCTAGTGACTTAAATATCAGAAAACCTAAATTTTTTAAAATTTTTTCCTAATATAATAATTACGAGTAAGTACGGGGTATTGGTGCGAAGTAAGGCCAAAAAAGGAGTAGTAGAGGTACGAGTACTAGCAAATCTTCTGAAACTTTGGAGCATTATTCTCAATTCCTTTAATTGTTTATATAATTTTAATCTACAGTTAATTCTCTCCCTTTTAACAGTAAAATAAACATTTTTCCCTCTCCTTTCCTCCCCCATCACCCTATCCCACCAAAAAAATAATGCCAATTTTTTCATTCATGCAATGCTAATTTTCTTTTTAAAAAAATATATTTTATTTGAAGCGCCAAAAACAACAAAAAATTATTTGTTGCGTGACTGCACACAATGACTGCCTTATAATATATTCATTTATTTATTTTATATTTTTTACATTAAATATATATAAACACCTCTTAATCAAGTGACAACTTTAAAATTTTTTTTTCAATTTTATGCATTTTATATACAAAAAGTTTTTTTATATTTTTGAAATGCCAAAGGGGAATTATGAGAAAATGAAATTGTTTATGTTTATTTATTTGTCTAGATTTTTTATAAAAATTTTTTTTGGCATTTCTTCAAAATATATTCTGTAAAATAATTTATTTTACTAAAAGCATAAATTAAAGCTTAAAAAACGTATTAATATTTTGCCATGAATGGGATTCAGTATGAAATTTGCATTTTAAAACCTCGGATTACTGAAGGATTTTAATTAGAGATCGGACCGATACGAGATCTCGAACAAAAATCTCTGTGATCCAGTCGATATTCTGGTACTTATTTGGCCCCCAGTCTATCTATCTACAATTTTTCCTCACTAAGAACTGACTGAATTTTTTTTCACTTTTTCGCGATCTCGATTGGCCCTCGGTCCGGTTTCTAATTTTGATCCCTCTCTTCATAAACAAACCCCCTATTTAAACTTGATCAAGCACTAGATTACAACCCATTCCATGCTCATAAATTAACCATTACTCCAATTCTTTAATTTACCACATTTTAAAAGTAAATAGTTTTCCCTCAAACGTAAATTGTGGATAATATTTATGTATTTATTTTCAATGATATTTAATTTATAGTTCCTTCTAAAATCAACTTTTACTACTTTGGCATTTTTTAAGATTAAATAAAAAAGTATGTAGTATACATTAGGGTTTGACCCCGAACGCTCGGGGGCGGGTATGTCGGGGTACGGGGTTTTCGAATTGTTTCGGGGCGGGGTTCGGGGCGGGGTTCGGGTCGGGGGAACAAAATATCGTCGGGGTTCGGGTCGGGGTACGGGGGTTTAGTGAAAAAATTTCTTTAAAGAGGTAATGCTCTAAAAATTAGCCGTTTTGGGTCTATTTTCGTTAATTTATTCACAAATTAATGAGAATAAGGTGGGATTAAATGGAAATAAGAGAAATTGGAGTGATTAATTGGATCTGGAGGTGATTAAGGAGGATTTGGAGGGATTAAAGCGGATATCTGGGGATATAAGAGGATTTGTAGGGACTAAGGGTAGTTTCAAGGGATATCATTGATTTGAAGGGTTATCGAGTGATTAGTGATTTGGAGGATATCAGGGTATCTTTTTATTTTTTGCGGCCGCGGGCGAAATCTTGAGAATTTTGTAAGGCCAAGAAGCCCGATTTTTTCGTTTTTTGCGCCGCAGGCGAAAATTTTGAGAAACTCGGAAGCCAAGAAGACAGATTTCTTACATTTCCAGAGCCGCGGGCGAAAGTTTTTAAAATTTTTTAGGTCAAAAAGCCGGATGTCTTCA